GTAGATTGATTTCTCCTCTCTAAACTGTTTCTCAAGCGCGTTCTCTCATCACCGCTGCTGCTGTGTGAATATGACGTATCACAACACCATGGAGACCCGAGGAAAAACTTGGATTAAAGTCCAAATGCTGACTTGAAATAACCTAACAAATCAATCGGGGATAAAGCGGTTCCATTAACGACAAATTAAATTCACACAATCTCACTAATTTGTGCACGCTTATGGTGCGTTCAAGTCATGTCGGATAGATCGTATTTACGAGTTGAACACACATGAACGCCACCACAAAGTCGTTATTATGAGTGGGAAACTCGAAATTTTCTTTAAGCACCGATATGGAACCAAATCATTTGACAATGAGTCAGACTAACTGAAATAAGCCTGGCTTATTTGGTTAACTTGTTTTACGAAACAGGCCTTAAGGCATGAAAAGTTATCATATTTTCTCCATTGCATCGAATCACATTGTGTTGAATCGAATCGAATCAAAATCAGATTGCACTGCATCGTAACAAGGGTGAATCGTATCGCATCGCATCGGTAGCTGCTTCATATGTATCTTTAATGTATCGTATCGTTGGCTATGCATCGAGATGCGTATCGTATCGGCCTGAGTCATGAGATGCACATTCCTACTGTTTACAGCTGTATTTCAGTTTTACAGTAACTATGTGGTACTGTGATCATGCAATACAGTGCAATTACTGTAAAAAAAATCCAAGTCATCAGTATTCATTCATCTGAATGTAGATTTCATTAGATTTTTATCATTTTTATATAGAATTCTTTTTTTTTTCCTACATAGGTACTACTGACATTCAATTCAAACAGACACAATTATTACAAAATATCAAATTCTTTATTTAAAACATTGCATATAACACTTAAAAATACACAGTCTTCCAATGCTGGAACAGTGCATCTTCACCATTTCTCCTGTCTTATGTTTTTTTGCAGTGCATTATGTTGTATCCTCTGGATTTATCCTCACAAAGAATCCTGAGGCAACAGGAAAATAATGGGGAAAAAATATAAGCAGCCAAAGAATAGATATAAGGCATCTTCAAATCCCAGATGCTGCTCCAAAACGTAGGCCATCTTTGTTCACCATCCACTTTGTTACAGAAAGAAATGTGTTCCCTGAAAAACAAGAAAGTAATTACACATCTATATGGAATAGCCTACACAAACCTCTCAAAATAATAGGCAGGTTACTCTCTTACCATGAATTATCAGACTCAGTGTGGCTGGCCTGCTCACGTCTTTCTTGATGCTTCATTGCAGATGCCTTTAAAACACATCCACACACAAAATGCAGTAAATCTTAAATTCCATTAAAAAAACTATAACAAACTAATGCCAAAACTAGAAAGGTGGCCATAAAACTTTTACTAACATACAATTTTATTTTCTCAATAAGCTACTAGCCAACGTTGACACCTGAAAAAAATTTCACATTAGTTAACTCAATGTTAAAGGTCCCATATTTTACACCTTTCTGGAGTTTTATTTTAGGTTTTGATGTCCTTAAGAATATATATTTGTGGTATAAGTACCAAAAACCATCTCAATATATTTTTACAGCTCCTCTCTCAGGAGCTCTGCTGAGAACAGGTCGATTTTGGCCTGTCTAATTAATATTCATGAGCCTCTCTTCTGATCGGCCTGTTATTTTCTGAGTGAAGCACGGCCAGGGCAACCACAGGTAACTAGGGTCAGCCGATGTCACAGCATTAGCTGGAGGCAGCAAAACAAAGGGGAAACTGGAGGCGGCGTGCATTTTACTGTGGATTGACTGTTTTGAAACTTATATGGTAGTTACATAGCACCTAGACCTCAGTTATCATGAAAAAAGCAACAATATGGGACCTTTAATATAAGATGTGTTCCTCGTTAAAATAATTTTAATTCGGTAAAAGACAGCGCAGTTTACAGTGGTGACGTTTATGTTACCGCCATGTTTACGATAAACTGGTGTGCAAAAAAACTGACAAAAACACAGACATACATACATATGTTTTTACCTTGCTTGCTGGTCTTTCTTATTCTCTCGTAAGGTGCATCGACTCACAGCGCAGATGTTCTCCGGATCCCTTCCGCTCGCGGGTTCAATCCCCGGGCAAAACCCGCGGCGCTGCCGTGCTGGTTCCGTGTCTACCTTCCGGACGCTAGCAGCGTGGCGCAACGCGACAAAAGACTACAGAACCCATTTTAATTAGTGATCAGATCTACAATGGATGCCGGACAGTAAACTGATGCCCCGGTATATTTCTAGTACTCCAGGCGCTCGCGCTGTTTCTGAAGGACAAACGGATTTGCCAGTCATTATTATTTAATCATTACAAGCGATTTAACTCAGGGGGGGGGACTCAATGGAATGGCCTGAAGAGACCAATAAATACAGTAGTATACAGCAAATTAAAAAAAATACAGTAAGTCTCTGTATGTGGTGTTTGACTCCACAGGAAATTCCCATGGTGCAAAGGAAATTACAGTTATTTACTGTTCAGGGAATTGATTTGCAGTATTATACTGGGTGATAAACAGTAAATAACTGTAGAAATAACAGAAATGTATAACAAATACACTATCATCGCCGAAAATCTGAAGACTGCTGACTTCTGACTGTCCAACATGACTGTGTAATTACTGCTAATAAACTGTGTGTATTTGATGTGAAAGTTGTTTGTGGTTACACTGTCCTTGTTACAGTGAAATTATACAATTAAGTGCTGAAGTGCAATTAATGTTCTTACTTTACGTTTAGGGTTTGGATTAGGGCTAGTTGCATGTCATTATGCGTTATTTACTCTCGTAGGCTATAGTAAGTGCGTGTAACACGTATTAGAACACTAAAACAATGTGTTACCATGTCTTTTCTGTAATTTCTCAAACACAAATATTTACCATGGCAGACAAAGCTTTAGTTAAAAGTTGCTACAGTTGTAGTTTCTACAGTATAAGTTGTTATAATCCAACAAATGATACATAACATAAATGCATGTCATGCATTATAGTGTTGAGCTGTAACAGGCAGAAGGTGTGATGTAGTGTTTGTGTTGAATGTCAGATATACTTACATCCCTTTGGATCCGTATTTGTTGTAAAACTCCATGTGGTTGCACGCCTGAATCCAGCCGACCGTCCAGCTCTCTTTACCGGCCACCGGCGGCACCAGGACCCGGGCGGACGCGCGGAAATGCGGCGTGCGGTAGCGCAGCACCACGCTGGAGGACTCGTCGATGCTGGTGGGGTTCGAGTCGATGGAGGAGTTCACCTCCAGAACCATGATGCTGTCCCGGAAACTCTTGGGTTTGCATCTGATGCTCTGAATACAGCCCATCACCAGCAGCACGAGCGGCCAGCAGAACATGAACCCACAGAAGGACACACACTGACCCTCAGAATAACGCACACTAGACACCCTCAGAAGAACGCTGTGCGCGCAAACACTAAACGACGCGTCGCGGTGTCGCGTCAGGACTTAAAACAGCGTTTCTTATTAACAAAAACATCACGTTATTTCGTCGAATAATAAAAGAAAACAAAATTAAATCAAATAAAAACAATGTTCGTCAACTTTCCGTCATTGGCGGACCGTTATAACGCTGCGCTCACACATAACGTTCTCCAATCATCATCAAACCGGCCTTTCCGCGTCGTAACCCTCACAGCAGTGCTTGTAGATGAAAATAAATAGGTTAAATCCATCCACTCAGAATACTGCTGGCATTTGGTGCGCAAAAAAAAATAAAATGTTCAACTACAAAGCGCGCAAAACGGTTTTTGGGTCGTTTTGGGGTTTTTAGACGGTTTGGGTATCAAAAGTAACGCAATTATTTTTTATTTTTGCAATGAATATTTACATTCCGTGAGTTTGTCCTTGAGGTTCAGTTGGAGGAAGCTCGCTTTCTTATGCACTTATGCGTAAACGATCCGTCTCAGCATCAGGTGAACTTCGTCAGCCCACATGAACAAACATAAGAGGTGAATAAATCAGTCCCGCTGTCACGAACACACATGCTGTGATGAACAGCCCATCATTTCGCGTCTCTCTTCGCGTTATAATCCTCATCCTCGCGCCGGTGCTGCGCTCAGCCTCCGTCCCGCAGCGCTGTGAGCGTCACCGCATCAGCTGCAGCTGCTCCACTCCGAGCGCCTGTGGCGTCACTTCCGCTCTCCGGCGCGCTGAGAGAGGTGCTCGTGCAGTTTGTACAGATTCAAAGTATTTATATATTTTGAAGGGATCGCAGGCAGCATCAAAAGTCTAAGACGCTTCATATGGAAATAGCGCGCTGGTTTTAAATATTCATGTCAGAAAGATGATAAAAGTGCGCCCGCGTTTAAGCACCTTGGAGAACACCGAAGCTTCTGTCATATATGCGATTCCTACTACGGTGAAGACAGAGCTCATTAATATTTAAAAAATGTGAGGTTGCGGCTGTCTTATTGAAGCGTCCAGTCACGTGATTATACTAATATTCATGAGCCTAATCTTCATTGGTCAGTTCTCTGCTTTGCAGCCAATCAGTAGGGCGTACATCTATGTACGTAATTAATATTTAAAAAGCAGTGCATACCTTTAGCATAGTAGTATTCGTAATTCTGTTATGGACCGGACCGTGATGGGTGCTGAAGCCTTGTTTAATTTACTAATACAGTGAAGATGTTTTCCAAAACCAAGCTGTATTACAGTATTTCTGAACCTTAACGCAGCGACTGTGAGCAGAATCAAAAGAGCTGGCCTTCTGCGCTGATTCTCTGGACTGCTCTGAGGTAACTTAGGCCAGCTGATGCTTCACATGTGATTTAGGAATAAAGCTAAATCTGTCAAACAAACCCAACTTTCTGGGGTGTCCTCATATTTAAAAACGATTTAAAAATCAAGTAAATTAAGTATTTTTAAAATGGTAAAAATACAGCAAGTTTCGGTTAGGGATAAGGTGTGGGTTAGGTTGTAGAATTTGTAACTAGCCGTAAATAAAAACAATAGAAGTCTGTGAAATGAATGCTGACATACAGTGGAGATCAAAATTATAGAACAATCTATAAATACTTGATTAATCTTCAGCACTCAAAATTTGAAGGAATAGCTGTGGGGAATACTGTTCTACTAACATATTTTACAAAATAACGAAGGCATTTCAACAAAAAAAGACGTTTATTTTGTGGAAAACACAGTGATCAAAATTAGAGAAGAGCAACCACTATAGCACGAAAGAAGATTACAACTAAACTTTTGGAGGGTTACAGCGGTCAGAAATTAGTAGGAATTGTAGAGGTCTGCGCTGGTGTGCTCTTGGTCCACTTTTTTTCCAGTCTCTTCCATAGTTCGGTAACTGTAGTGGGTTTCTTAGCCATAACTTTGCTGCCAAGTATTTTCCAGAGATTTTCAATCATGTTTAGATCAGGACTCTGGGCCGGTCATTTCATTATTTCAATGTTCTTAGCTTCAAATAACTGCTTTACCTGTTTTGCAGTGTGACAGGGAGCATTGTCTTGCATGAAAATTGCAGGTTGATTCAGAGATGCTTGCAGGGAAGGAGGATGCATGTTGCTGAAGGAGGTTCTAATAAACATTTGCATTCACCCTGCCATGTAGCTGTATAAGGAGGCCCAACTGCTGCTGCAGAAAACATCCCCAAACCATGACACTTCCTCCTCCACCTTTCACTGACTTGTTTACATACTCGGGGTTCAGTCTTTCCCCCAGTTTGACGCCGAACATAATGTTTCCCATCTGACCCTAATAAATGAAACTTACTAAACTTACTTACTAAAGTGATCTTTGGACCAGTTCTCCTCTCTCCACACAACATGCTCCTCAAACAAAGGTGAGCTTAGACTTTTGATTCTTTCTGCTGATGAGAGGCTTGGTCACTGCAGAGTGCGCTTTCAATCTGACTTCTCTTAAACGTGCTGAGACAGATCCATACCCTGTTCAGCATTGAACTGGTGAGCAATTCCAGCTGCAGTGTTGAACCGATTCCCCATTGAGAGTCTTTGTATTTTCCTGTATTCTCGTGCAGTTGTCTTACATGGACAACCAGCCTTTTGGGGGGACTTGAATGAATTTGTGTATTGTAAAACTGCAATATTCAAGAAATCACAGATTTGAAACGACCAACTTCTCTTGCAGTGGCTGAAAGGGTCGTCCCTTTGGCCTTCATCTGAACAACCTCCTGTCGCAGGCTTTCAGTCACCTTAGAGTAATCTTGCAATATCTGTGAAAATTAGAGGAATGCTGGCAGTTAAACAGGGTTTGTCATATAATTAAGGAAATTAGCAGCAGGTGCCAGATTAACACCAATAACTTGGATGTATCTGTAAGTGTTCTCTAATTTTGATCAGAGTTCTTTTTCAAATATCTAATTTAAGTGTTTCATACTGTGCTTCAGAATACAATTAATTTATGAAATATGCTTAAAAAACTGCCCTTCTATTCCTGTTAGGATAACTTCAAAGAGGACTAAGCAGTGACCTTGAAATTTAGGAAATTGTATGTTCTCTAATTTTGATCTCCACCGTAGATCAAAATTAGCGTTGTTCAGGGTTAGTTCACCCAAAAATGAAAATTAGCCCATAAATTACTCACCCTCAAGTCATCCTAGGTGTATATGACTTTCTTCTTTCAGATGAATCCAGTCGGAGTTATATTAAAAATGGTCTTTGATCTTTCAAGCTGTTTAATGCCACTTAGCGGGTGTTGCATGCATCAGTCCAAAAGAAGTTAAATAAAAGGCGCCCATCCATTAAAAAAAGTGTCTCACACGACTCCGGGTGGTGAACAAAGGCCTCCTGTAGAGAATCGATGTGTTTTTAAAAGAAAAATATCCATATTCAAAACGTAATAATCACTTTAATGTAGCTTGCGCCAACAGTTGTACACAGAAGCAGTTCCGGGAGCATGACGTATGAGTTCAGCGTTGCGCATTCGCCGGTGAGTCTCGTGAAAACCAACGTTTGTTAACAGGAGCAAAGGAAGCAAAATTTCCTTACTTTAGCAAAGGAAAACCAGTTTCCTTTTGGCTTATATTGATATCCTCCGACATTCTTCTTTACAAATCCTCGTTTTGTACTTCTAATAATTGACCGTTGTTTTGTTTCGATCTCTCCGCTGCATTTCCGCGTTCATCACTTATGAGCGGCGCATGCGCTAAGCTGACCTCATACATCATTCCCCCGGAACTGCTTCCGTTTACAACTGTTGGCACAAGCTACATTAAAGTGATTATTACGTTTTGAATATGGATATTTTTCTTACAAAAACACATCGATTCGCTACAGAAGGCCTTGAACTGTGGCGCTGGAGGTGTATTCTATGAGTGCCTTGGACATCAAAAGTTACAAACAAGACAATCTTAGAGCATGTTAAAACAGAGATATTATTGGTGGGTAAAATTACTAAGCTGCGGCACTCAAACTTTGGACATATCAATTCCAAGAAAGTCATATACACCTAGGATGACTTGAGGGTGAGTAATTTATGGGCTAATTTTCATTTTTGGGTGAACTAACCCTTTAACTATACATATGTGTGTATCAATTTTTAGTATAATGTGAAAACTGACATGAATTACGCAAATAATTCTAGTACTATTTTGTCACCAGTTATCAAATTCTGGGAGTGACTCACAATATTTCTTCACAAATTACATTGTTACACCAGTAGGTGGCAACAAGTGACTGTTTTTATTAGTGAGTATTTTGAATTATTCACTCAACTGTTTTATTAAAAAACACTGATTAATTCAGGAACCAAACAAGGACTGGCTGCAACCAAAGTTAATCAACAGCTTTTGTTGCCTATCAGGCAGTGACTTCACAGACAGCGTTTCCATAAGGTGCTGCACAAAACTGATTTCAGACATGAATCTGAGGCATAATATATGAAAAAAAAAGAGAGCTTACTGATTACTGATAATTAAGCAAATATTTATTTTCTGTTGTCTAGAAAGTATATATATATG